TGTAACTCAGGGGATGGTGGAGCTCCCTGGTGTAGTGCAACCCGACTGCCCTTTGCATGAGGTGATTTCCTCTCCTTTGTAGGCGGCGGGAGCTGAGGGACCTGCGAGAACTGAATTAAAGGACCCGAGGGTATTTTCCCGGCGAGGACTCTTCGATGCCTAAGTTAGCATTCTGATTGTAGGGAGCTTGGAGGGAAATGAGAGAGCTAGAGAGCAAGGATTACCTCCATTTTTTTATTCTCTCCCTCCATTTTCTCATTCTCTCCCCCTTGTCTTTGGGGGTCAGAGTCCTTATATAGTGGTGTCCTATCAAATCAAGCGTAACAGCCTCTGTCAAGTCACGCGTAACCGCCTTTGTCTCTCTGCCGCAGCCGTTACTCTCAGAGCTGAGGTGGCGGGTGCAGGCGGCTGCTACGGAGTACGGCTCTGCCAGTCAAGGGACAGCTCTCAGGATTGGCAGACACGGCGCCGCCTAGCGAGAGACGTGGGCGCAGGTCTCCAAATCTATCAGGTACAGTTGTCAGGCAGGAGATCTTCCTACGATATGCCGAGCTGCCCCTAAGTGCTGAGCTGCCCCTAAGTGGCGAGCTCTTCGTAAGACACCAGGCTGCTTGCGGAGTGGCCAGCTGCCTGTGGCGAGCTGCCTATGCTGAGCTACCTGTAAGGTGCCGAGCTGCCTATGCCGAGCTACCCGAGCTGTACCGAGCTGCCTATGCCGAGCTACCCGAGCTGTACCGAGCTGCCTATGCCGAGCTGCCCGAGTTGTATCGAGTTGCCTATGCCGAGCTGCCCGAGCTGTACCGAACTGCCTATGCCGAGCTGCCCGAGCTGCCCAGTCGTCAAGAGGCTGCACTTGGTTTGCATGAGGTGCCAGGTATCACAATTTCACTGGAGGGCCAAATCCACCCTCATCAGAAACCTAACTTACCTGATCACTAGAATACAATAGGCTCCTTATAAATAATATGTTATAATAAATCCCAACAAAAAATGGAGGAACCAATTGGTTCCATGGTTTATAATTATTATTCTTAGTCTCTATTAACTAGTAACTAGTAAATCTTTAAGAAGATTTCTGTCTATTATTAGATATATTATTAGAATGTAATTTTTGTAGTTGAGATAGGATAGGTAATTTCCTTCAAAATAAAAAAGATAGGATAGGTAATATAATAGCAAAGCTTTTTACTTTTTTTACTAATTCATTCATTGCATCTGCAGAATAGGACAATTCTGGTGTTCATATTAGCTAGTTTTGCCCTAACAATTCAAACTAATCAACTTCTGGTAATTAATATAAAACTTGCATGCACAGTGTGGGCCAAACTATTCATCAACCACTCAAACAGGGAAAGTGAGATATTTAAAGTGAAAAGAATGCAAGAAGGGCATCACATTTATCTGAACTCATGATTATTATTTTCCTTTGATCACTTATATCATCGATTTTTCAGATTAAATCTTGAATGCTGGTTTATTCTGTAAATATTTCTCAATGCTTAGAAGTATATATATCTTGTTGCATTGTTTTTCTGTGTATTCATTTTACAATAATAGTTTTTAGACTCCAGCACCTTCTGGGGCATCATTAATTGATGGATATACAACTTGGGTCCACCTTGATCTCCTAGAATTCATAGCTAGGTTATATTTAAAACAGCTCATATGTTTTGTAGTATTACTACCATCAGAAGTTGTACTACATGTTTCGGTCATGGAGAACCGTCAAACTGTTCCTTAGTACTGGAAAAGTTCGAAAATATGAACCTAAAAAGAAGCAGACCATGAACAACAGTCCTGACATTATGGTGAGTTGATGACAAGTCAATTGGCCCTTTTTAATATATAATTGCATGTATGCATTTACAAAGGTTTTGTGTATATATAACGTCCTTTGCAGAGATCAGGTTGTAGTCAGATTAATGGGTCAACAATGCGCAGAGCCCATAAGAAAAGGAATCTCTCCAGTGAAAGTGTTGCAGAAAATACTATAGGTAGTGTTCTACCAGGAGGCTATGGTGATGAAGAGAGCCTCATTATCGTAGAAGAAGCTGCATCAGTTATAAAAGCACTCAATTACCTCAGCCACTGCGATAGGGAAGAATCAAGTTCTAAAGGTATATATCTTTCATTAATTCTAACAACTCTGCATTTCATACGTACTATGGCAATTGGTTTGTTTGTTTAGCATGGGTTTTGCTAATGCCATCAACCAGTCAAATTCAACTCGGCTTTAGGTTGGGAATTTCCATATAATTAATTTGGATTTAATTCAGAATAAAAAAAAGTAAAAAAAATAAAGAAAAATTGATTAACCCATCCATTAGGTGTTGTCTTGTTATTTTAATACTACTTAATCCAAATAAATGCATTTTTAAGGATAGAATCTAATCAATTTATTCGTTACATAATTGGAAAATAAAGCTAACAAAACTAAATTCTATTATTATATAAAAATTCCTGTTTTGATCAGCATTTTCTTGTTTACTTTAGAGAATTAATTTTAAACATGTCTCAAGGGATGTAACTATATAATTTTTCATGGTCTGCTATATATAAATACATGCAAATATACATAACCATGTTTTCCGGTCAAAACCTTTTTTTTTTTTTTGCCATACCAAAACTTGCTAGTTACAACGGGTTAGAAGGTAGAAAAGGGTTCCATTCCCCTCTCTCTCCTTCCTCCTCCTCATCATGATAGGGATTTACCTTGTTTTCACTTAGCAGATCTCAAAAACAAAATTGGGAAAGGTTCAAGTGAAGAAGCTAGCAAAAGTATTCATCATGAAGGAAGTGCAATTGCTTCCCCTTCCCCTCCGAGCTAATGAGTAAAGGGGTGACGGTGAGGCATTTGATGGTATGTGGTAATCTGGTGGTGCATATATAAGAAGAGACCTGTATTAATTCTTGTTCCTCACTTGCTCATTTCGTTGCCAAATTAGAGGAAACCAATCCTCTCTTGCGTTGAATATAATGTGGTACTGTGGCATCATTTATATTTTCTTCTGTTGATCAGCTTCCTAGTGATCATTTCTGTGTATGTATATAGACATCTCTATGTGCGCTTCGCCAAAGTAACATAATTTTTGTAGTGGGGATTGACAATCATGTGTTTTTTATTTGCGCATGGGAGTACAAATGTGCAAGGTGTAAACTCTGATTTGGTTTTGCTTCAGATTTGACTTTTCTCTCATTTGTTTGTAATAAACAAAAATAAGAAGTAAAATGATGTACTACCCACCTAATACGAAAATTATGGGCTGGGTCGGTTTGGGCCAGCCCAAAGCTGCACACCTAAATTTAGTAATTTATTATGACTGAAATTTGAATGCGACTAGGAACGAAATGATTTCATTCTATTTCACAATAAATAGGATGGGACCTTTTCAATTTGCAAAACGTAGTTTAGTTATATCTCTTCACCGTTAATGGGTGGCTAAAGCTTAACTTGTTTTTCAGCTACACGAACACAACCTAAACAGAAAATGACTAACATTTCAAGAAAAAGTTTCGGTTGTTTTCCTGTTCTCAGTGGAAGAGAAAATCAATTATTTTCTGCTATCTAGGAACCAAAGACGGAGACGTTTCATTAGGGATATTTTAATTTAAAAGGGATATCCGTCCCGGAGGGCCCAAAGCCATGAGAAAGTGTTTCTGTATAAGTGCAATGGCTTTAAGCCTATACCACACTTACTAGACAAAACTAGTAAATGAAGACCTAGAGGAATTGAATCCCATCCATTTCTGTAACTGCAATGGCTTAAAGCCCAGACACCCATTGACACAACTAGTAAATGATGGCCTAGAGGAATTTGGATCCCATCCAATTCTGAGTTTCTGACCGCAATACCGATGGCAAAGGTCTTATTGAACATATCCAAATTGCAGTTTTATCAGGGGCATTTGGAGAAAAAGAAATAGGACCTTTGAAGATAAGTTTAAAAGTTATCCAAGGCTTGTAGCAAAATATTTGTGCTTCTTAATCGGACTGGTCCGAAGCAATTCAACACTCCTATGAATTTTAAGGTTCAGTTTGTTTGCAGACTGCAGTGCAAATTTCATAATGACTTTTATAAATTCTGGTTTACTTTTGCTTCAGATTTGACTCTCTTATTTGTTTGAGAGAAACAAAATAAGAAATAAAATTATTTGATTCCCACCTCATATGAAAGAGATAGAGGTAAGAAGAGCATTGTTGTTTGATAGTGAGGTAAGAGGCAAGATGATGTAACCCCGACCTTAAATGAAAGAGAATAATTGATGTAGGAAGGTGATAAATTTTGCATGCACTCCTAGTGAGTGCAATTTTTTATCAGGTAGGACTGTAGGAGTGCAACACACATACAAAACTGAACCAAATGCAAATTTTACATTTGATTCAGATTTGCATTGCAAAAAGAGCTTACGAGAATGGATTCTGGTATACATTAGAGATTGTTTCATCAGGAGATATTTAATTTGGGATTTTGCTGTCTTAATTCCAATTAGCATCATCATTTTACTGTAATGTTTAATATGCCTTAGTGAAACCACTTTGCCTGCCTTGTAATCTGTTATTTAGAGGGTGTTCTCCAGTGAATTGTTTTGTCCCCAAAACAAATCAAAACACTTGGTATATATATATATTGGATTCTAAGACTTAGTCATAAAATGTGCCCTTGAATTTCTGGTTTGAAAAACATGTTTTCATCTTTTTTAAATCATACAATATCTAAACTCCAAAATTTGTTTGTTTAAAAACATGAATTGTTTTCTGAAACAAACCGATTTGATTTTGCTTCTCAAAACAAAAACATGGTTAAAGAACATGTTCTTGTTTTTTGCTGAAGTGGCAATTTAAAAAAAAAATGAAAACAAAAAATTTAACGTCGTAAAATACCCCCTTAATGATTTGTTTCTTGACCATTATAAAAAAAAAAAAAATCTGAATTAAGAAATGGAAGCACGAAATTATTATGTGATAAAACAAGAGCAACTGAACCACCGCAACTAAATCATGTTCATGATCAGACTGAAACATTTAATAAAACGGGACAAGCCACTGCTGCACAATCATCTCATGAGATCAGTAACGGGTCACAGAGACATCATAACATAATTACATAGGCAAATGCGTTATAATGCAAATTCCAAGCGCTCCCCCCTTGAAGCAACAAACCCATAACAGCTGAGGCAAGAATGCACACAAGATAAACCAGTGATCCAACATAAAGAGCAAGTTGGGAAAATAAGTATAGAAATGAAATAAAAGCCCAAGGGATGCAAGTAACAGACAGACCCGTCATTGTCTCTCCAGTCATAGACGATAGCCATAGTCCTACTCAACGGCCATTAGGTTCAGTAGCCCTGGGCCAACAGGTGATCTGCTCAAGAAATTTGGTGAGCCTCATGTGTTTTGCAGCCCATTGTTCAACCAACTTCTGCTCCTTCGCTTCAGCATCCCTCCTCAGGCTTGCCAACTGTTCTCTGTATTCTACTTCTATTTTCTCCAGAGTTGCTTTCTCTTCTTCCCTAAGAGCCCTAACTTTGGATTCTATCTCTTCCATTTTTTCCCTCCTCCGACATGCTTTTTCAGACTCCATCTGCAGCTCCACCCTTTTAAGCCTCCAGGACGCTTCCTTCTTATGTGCTGCCCAAGCACGGTGCCCCTCCTCCAACTCCCTACAGCATTCTGCAAGCTCAGAGATCAGCAGATTGTCACCACCTGTAGGAACTGCTCCATGTTGCTGCAAATTTCCCAAGACAAGGGGAGTGCTATCCCCTCCTCTTTCAGGTTGCAGCCATGGGATGGCAGGAGCAGGTGTAACAGTTGAGGGTGACAGAGTTAGGGTAACAGAAGGGGAAGGTGGCCTCACTGTAGATGTTGCATTGGAACTGGAAAGCCATGGAGGAAGCAAGGTTGGTGGAGGTGCAGACTGATCAGAGTGAAGGAAACCTCCATTGGAGGTGGCCATGAGAAATGATGCAGAAGTACGTTCTTTTACCAGCTTCTCTGCGAAAGTCTCAAGAATGTGATCGTACTTTCCTTCCTCAATAGGGTCAAAGGCCTTGGCTCTATCCTTTTGCTCCCTCTGCTGTTTCTCCTTGAACACTTCCCACCACTTGCCCAGCCTCTTGGCAGTACGACCAGGAATCTCAGCAGCAATCTTCTTCCACTTGTTGCCGTGCTTGGCCTGAAGACAAATGACAAGACGCTGCTCCTCCTCAGTGAGAGATCCCTTCTTGATACCTGGCTTGAGGTAATTTTTCCACCTTTCTAAGCAAGATTTTGCATCCCTATTAAGGGGTGTGTTCATGCGCTCGGAAACAAGATTCCATTCCCGTGGACCATACTGCTTGACATATGCACGTAACAGAGCATCCTCTTCAGCCCTCCAACGTTGCCTCTCCTTCATTTCCAGGAGCAAACATCACTGTGCATAGCATTGGACTCGGATTCTTCATAATGTATCTAAAAGCATGAGGCAAAGTGAGTTAGGCTCAACTTGAGGTTAAAAAAGGGAACATACTGTTGCAGAGCCATCTGAAACAGCAGAGTTTTTTTTTTGGGTCAATCTGAAACAGCAGAATATCTATTCACCAAAAAAAAAAAAAAAGAAACAGCAGAATATCCCATGAATGAAGTTAGCCAGATGAACATTCTGGTTGATGGTTGTATATGTTGCAAAGGAAAAGATTACAGGAGTTCAGCATGGAGTTAATAACAAAGTTTCCATAAAACTTATTTTACAGCCCCTGTCATGGTCAGGGGTTGTTGAAAGAAGACAGCACAAGTAACTAAACGGTTTATACACCAGCATCACAATTTCAGCCACATCCTAACTTCTTAGAGAATTACTGAATATAGAGACATCACATCATCATAAAGTACTGAATAATTAAATAAAGTAACTTGCCATCTACTTTCCTTCAGACACATCTGATCAAATTAATGTACTAACCACTGATCCAGAACAACAGATAAGGAGCAATTTCAGTTGCATTAGTGCAAAAGAGGATCAATATCAAAGGACAAAGTTCACTTTCAAACATAATGAATTATTGTTAAGAACCAAGCTATTTTACTGAGTTAGCTATTGATGCATTAACCATCTAGTTTGGGAATGAATTATTCCCAAACTACTAAAATGATGAAGATCGAAGCTATTTTACCCAATAAGAACCAACTATGACTTTAAATTAAAAAGTAAAACTAATTGAAGTAAAATCAAACAGAATGAATTATTGTTAAGATCCCACTACATAGGTTAAACAATTCACTGAAAATGGATAAATGAAGTGAAAGGAAATTAAACCTAGTACTCATAATACCATAATTTTGGCCTATTTTCTATTAGCTAAATCACCTAGTTGTACAAAAATTTTCAAAGAAAAGAAGAATGTCATTTGATTTCCCAACCTAACAGAATTTGACACACATTTTCCAGTCATTTAAGAATATAATGAACAAATATCATGTCAACAGTACATTTCTTAGATATTCATTGCAGACAATGGATGCTGATATACATCTCAGAAACTTGTTATCAAACCAATGTGCAACATAAACCAACAAAAGCTTAGCACAATTAACCACGTTTTACAGTATTTTGCTCCCGACACAACCATCCTGGACATTGGGCTCCTCATGGTTTCTCACATTCAAAAAAATAAATGAAAAAAGAAAAGAAAAAAAAAAATCATATAGAACCGAAAGTCTTGAAACTTAAGATGATCAACAGACATATTCAAGCTGTAATTTGCAAAATTAGAAGTTTTATCAACCTTGCCGCATATAGTTGAGACAAGGCTTAGATGAAGAAGAGAAGTTTTAACAGAATGCTACATCTTTAAGAACAAATGAACATTTGAGGCGTTCAAGGCTTTTATAATGCCAAAAATCAAAGAACCAAGCTTGGCGAATATTCAGAATGACTGAGATATTCTAAAACATTTTGATGGAAATAGAAGAAACTGCTGTAAGTAAAGCATGGTGCTATTAGGAAGCAAATGTTATGTAAGAAAATAGTACATTCTTGAAAAATTGCTTTATATACTTGGGATTTAGATTGGAGAAACCTACATTATCTTCTTCTTTGGTAATATTTACTTGTAGAAGCGAAGTATAGAGTTTTAAGCCAATGGAGACAAAGGAGAAAAGTAAACGGCTTATATACTTATATGAACAAAGGTAACTATTTAAAAGCTGAAAACAATCCAATTCCACCAAGACAAACAAATCTCCACATAGAAATTTAGAAAGTGAACAGCAAATACGAAAAAATACATATATAAAAAAACAAATGCTAGTGAATAACTAATGGCTACTCATATGCAAGTGACACGACAAATTAGAAAGAAAAAATCGAAATAAAAGGGGTCCCGAAAACACAGATTCAAGCAACATAAAACCCCAAATTACTTCAAAAAAAGGATGCTCGGAATCTTCTTCCAGAAAGCTAAAACAYATTAACACAATAAAAATCAATTAACATCCTTCCCAAGTCCAATCATTAAAGAGAAGGAACCAAAACTAATAAGAAACAAAGAATGAAGGAACCGCTTACGTACATGTTTCTAACTATGCAAAGCTAAGCTTCTTCTTCGGCGCATCTCCAACCAAAGTTTTACCAAAAAAGAAGAAAGAAAGAAAGAAAATTACAATAGAAACTCAAACCCAAACTCTAGCAGGTTGAAAACCTATAAGAAAAAACTCGAAGTGGTGGTGGAATGAAGGCGCAGTGAGAGTGTGAGAGAGATTAAAGGGAAATTCAGTTTTAGAGGGAGAAGACAGTGGCGGAAAAGGAGGGCACGCGAATGGGAAGAAAATAAAGTCGGTCGTATTTTAACGTCCGTTTGTGACGTCGCTAAGGGAATGTGCTATCGTAAGCCCAGTGGTGCCACTGCCACGAGAGAGAGAGAGAGAGGGGGGGGTCTGAAATCTGAATACTGATGGGGCGTACGCTCGATTTCAGCGCTTAAAACCAGTTTTTTTTAGTATCGTCTTTCGCGGTTCCACCCCCTTCATCGCCAGAGTTTTGCGGGCGCAATAATCCAAATTTTATAATACTTTTAAGAGTCATTTATCAGAACACCACTACTTTTATAAATTTATTTAAATCTATTTTATAATTTTTATTTTACACTAATCTATTTACTTAATCGATTTTGAAAATAATAATATGATTATCAAAACTGAATGGAAAATGTTCAAGGGCATGGGCTCATGAATGTTTATTTCAAAATTACACCTAATACTTCTTTCTATAAAAAACAAATTGACCAAATAGAACCAAATAAAGCATTTGCTCATGTCTTATTATGGGCAAAAATAGTATTTTCATTTTTATTTTGTTTTGATTAAACTTATTCAAATGGACATTAAGATCAAAACTGTTATTTTTTACTATCATTTAGTAGAAAGTTGATTAAGTAAATTGATTACAAATTATAGGGGGTGTTTTAATAAAATGTAAACTATAAAGTAGGTTTTAATAAATCCATAAAACTATAGGAGGTGTTTTAGTAAATGACCCTAATTTTAACCGGGTTTGGTTTAAAAGAAATGATAGGAAAAGAAGCAGAAATAAGAAACTTATACAAACAGATTTTTCTATCTTTCCCTTTTTTTCCCTATCTTTTATTTCAAACCAAACAATCTATGATGCCGAAAGGCTTTGAAATGTTATTTGCAACAAAATGGAATTTATGCTGCTTTTGGTTGTAGTGCAATTTTTATTTGCACTAATACAAATGCTTGGGAGTGCAAACGAAAAGAATGCAAATTTTGGTTTAATTTTGTTTGGATTTTAACTTATTCTAATTCAAGTCATATTTTACTTTATTTTTACCGCATCAAACAAGTAAAATTTAAAACAAAAATAAATCAGAAGTGGTTTGCTCCCATATTAATTTAAATAGAATTCAAAAAACTCTAAAAAAGTTGAGAGTGGTTAACTTCACTTTTAATTCAGAGGCTTCAAGCTTAGCCACTTGCCAAACCATTCTTTCAAAAGTGAGGGTAATTAAATAAAAACAATTAAATAACCGTTTCTCATCTTTATAAAAATAAGACTTAATTTAATCTCTTAAGTTAAATAATAAAATATGGGTGTTAAACAAAAATAATAAACAGACATGAGTTAAAAAAACATATTAAAATACTAGCCTATATTTAGTGGAGGGATCATGCCTAGTTTCAAATGAAAAGAGTGAAAGCAAGAGGATGGTCGTTTTGTTTGGAAGGTAGAGCAGTAAAATAATGTGGTAACTAATTCATATAAGAAGAAATTAAGATTGAGAGGAGATACAAATTTCACATGAGCTTTTGGGATTCAAAATTGTAAAGTAAATGCGAAAATAAATATATGTAAAACTGAACAAGATGCAAAATTTGTACCAAGTTTTGCAATGCAAACAAAGAAAACCTAATGTCAAGGGCCCAGCCTTGGCAGGTGGCAGCCCCACTACGGTTCCTTGCCTTGCCCAAGATCGACCTTGTTTGCTATTGCTAGTTTTTTTTTTTTCTCGGTAAATACTAGCCAAGCACTCAAAGCTTCAAAGGCATGACATCAATACACTAAATCATGAAACGTCCATTTCTACACGTACCTTAGTCCTTAGCCATGGCAAGTCAAACATAGGAGCCCGGATCTGTTTCTCACAAAGCGGTCTCACACTGATTTTATAGMAAATTTAGATTAATTGCTTTAACTGTTTACAGGTTGTCAAACCAATGATGAGGTTGTACATCAGTATTGAATTCTAGGCCCCATGTATTTAATATTAGTGAACCTTATCATTAGTTTTACAGCCTGCTGAACAGTTAATGCGTTTCAGCTAAACCTTGCTCCCTCATCTGTTCTGGATGTATACATCGATAACATTTTTAGTACTTATATCCATTATTCATGGGGAGATATTCCCAATATATGATTGTGAGGTCGGGTGAGACCACTCCGTGAGGAATAGATCCCAATTCTAAATATATGTATTTCCCACAGACTTCACAGCATGTTATGGTCGCATATCGGGAACATCTACTGCACTTGTATCTATTATTCATGGGAAGATATTGAGAATATAAGATGGGATATGACTGTGAGATCGGTGTAAGGCACACTCTGTGCGGAGCAGATCCCAATTCCAAACATACGTCCTTAAAGCCATGAACCATGCAGCAAAACTGACTTGATATCAAACATGGACCTAGCTTTGGCTACATCGTGCACCCCACTTGCCCCAGTAAGCAGCTTATCCCTTGTCTTAACCAAGATCGACCTTGTTAGCATTTTTGGAGGACATACAACTGTACACTATGGCTCCCACTAGCCAAGCACACAAGTTACCATGTCCACACGCTTATAAGGCTGGCCACAAAACGCACAAGCTAGTGAAAGGAGCACTCAGGGTCCGGAATCAGAATCGGAATCGTCCATTTGGATTACAACTGTTTAGTTGGGGGTGGAATCAAAATTTCATTCCCGTTCTTGGTGGAATGGTAATATATATGGCAATCTTCAATATGAGGGAATGGTCTCCCTCCTCTAGGAATGATAATCTATTTCAGCCAATTCTGATTCCGATTTTGATTTCAGACTGAACTAAACAGGTGAAGGGAGATCATTCAATTCCAACTATGAACCAAATAGACCTTTAGTTTGTTTACCAACAATACAAAGTACAATGGAGAAACATTCAACGAAAAGTTATATCACAAATGAGGGGGATATTAGGGGTGCTCATGGTTTGGTTAATCGAACCTGGGCCTAAATTTGAAACCAAACCAGTATGACCGGTTTTTGGAAAACCGATAACCGAAACCAAATCAAAGCCAATCAGTTAACCAGTTGACCGATTTGGTTAATTGTTGGTTTTTCAGTTTTTTATATTTACAATATATATTATAAAAAATATATAAATATATAGTAAAAAACTAGGAACAAATATAAAATATTAAATCTTTAATAATAAATAATATATTATATATTATATATTATAAATATATATTTATATATATTATTAATTTATATATATAATATATACAAAAATATAAAATATACAGAAATATATATAATATATATAAATTTTTGGTTCAATTTCGGTCAATTTTTCAGTTCAGTTTGATTTTTCAATTTTTCTTACTCACCTCTAGCAAATATATCTGTTATTTTTAATTGAAATTTTGCAAATTGAAACAAATTTACCAAATTTGATTAAGGGTGCAAATGGGTAAGCAATTGCCTTACTTCTATCTTTTCTGTATACTTGTGTGTAAGGGCGCAAGCTATTCAGAGCCCATCCCCTTAACCTCTTAATCCGATGGCAGCTGGACCATTATTAGCTGGTGATTTATATAGTCAACCAAATGAAAGAATTATTTGACGGGACAAAAAGAGTGAAATATAGTCCATTAGTCCACCCAATCGAGTAGGCTCTTCGTACCATGTTGTTGTATTCATGTTGCAAGTCGAAGAAACTTACATAATTATATATTATTGTATGAAATCCAAGACAATTTGATTAAAATGTTTGARACACATTGTATGAAATCCAAGACAAATTGATTAAAATGTTTGAAACACAACATGGATGCCAAAGATCTTCTACCACCAACAAAATGAGTCCAATATTGTCCTAGCAGGCGACTGAAACCGTACATTGGGAATATCTTTTTTGTTATTTATGTTCTTATGGGACCTATTAATTAGATTTGTTCATGGGTTAGGCTGAGTCGGGCTCGGACCGGGCTTTTATTCTTCATTAATGGAAATATGTTAGGCCCGAGCCCGGCCCTAATAAAAAGCCCGAAGTCCAAGCTCGAGCCCGACCTAATAAAAAAAATTAGATTTTTTCCCTATTCAATAATCAATATAAAGTAGAATTTATTTATATTAAAAAAGAATATAAATTCAAAATTTATTTACATTAAAATAAGAATATAAAGAAGGGAAAAAGGATGTGGAGAAGAAGGGTTCGGCTGGAAAAATAAGGGAAAGAGGTGAAAAAAAGAGGAGTATTCGACTAGGGTTTTTAGGTTTAATTATAGATCGGGTCGGGCCGGGCCGGGCTATTTTGGAAAATCCCGAGCCCGACTTGAATTTATTGTGGGTCGGGCTTTTTGGCCCGAGGTTAAGCCCGCGGGCCCATATACCTGTTCAAGCCCGTCCAAGGGCTAGGCCAAGTCGGGCCGGCCCGTCAGGCCACCCAGCCCATGAACAGGTCTACTATTAATGTGTGGTTGTAATGTCCTACAGACGAGACCGGATCTGCTCCTCATAACTGGCGCCTCACAAGCATATCCTACCATGCATTAGGAATATCTCGTGTACTTATTAATGATTATTCACGGGAGATGTTTTCAATGCACGGTGGATGTGTATGTGAGGTGCCCATTTGTGAGGAACAGATCTTGTCTCCCTGTAAACCCATATAGTTGGGATAAAACTTAAATGGTGATGATAATGATAATAACAAGATACATGGAAGCCAATACCAGATCTGCTCTTCACACCTGACGCCTCACAAAGACATCCTACCATGCATTAGAAACATCTTTCGCATTCATTAATTATTATTCACAGAAGATGTTCCCAATGCATGGTGGATATGCATAGGAAGCACCCATTTGTGAGGAGAAGATCCCGTCTCATGGAAGCCAAGGCAATTTATGTGAGTTCAACTTGAGACAACAAACAATAAATATATTTCAATGAACTAGACAAATTGAATTGGATCCGATTATTTTGTGTGCATAAAAGGTCAGAGGCCCCAAGGTAAATGCTCAAGTAAGTCAGGAGAGTAAATTGGTCGACTAGGCTAAACTAATTGAGATGAACTGATCGTAATCGAGTAAAAGAAGTAGAGAGCAAAAGAGCTAGTGGGACATGTGTTGGCCCATGCCCTTAAATACATGTTGGGGAGTGTAGCGCTCCTTGCGAGTGGGATACATGTCAGGTTTCAAATACCAACGTTCGAATTGTTAG